TTTTTTTTGAAAGAATCACCTGTGTAAAACAATGATTCATCTTAGGCTCAGTGAATATCGGGAAGAATAACCTCACCCAATTCGTTTCGGTTATTATTATAATTGATAAATAATAGCAATAATTATTGCATGTGATACAGTTGCGTGGGTCCCTAATGATTGGATTAGACATACGCAGTAGCTTGCTTATCGCCGCCTCAAGGGCCCCACCTCAAATCTTTAGGCCGACGCCCAAAATTACCTTAAGCTCATTTTTCAATAAATTCTCCAAATCAAAAACCCGTTTTTGCCATATTTGTCTTCTTTTGTTCTTTATTCATTCTTAATACCTCACAATTACAGTAATTGTAGTAATATTAGTACTACTTTCCAACTAATTAGTTTATCCTAAAACARTTTTCCTTTCGTCACCTTTGAACTGTAGTTGTTTTTTAAGGTGCATCTATCGACGTCAGACGAAGCCTCGAAATTTGAATGACGTTCTAGCTAACACGAAAGTTACTATGGTAACGCTGTCTGATTTCTTTATCAGGCCATGAAACGAACACTGTTGTACAGTTCATCTAATTTGCTAATCCCTGACTTTTCAAGGTGCCATGGAAATTGGCCCGGTAGACGATCAGTCGYTATTTCGTCGAAGACTACGAAACGCCACTCCAAAGTCCTTGGAATGCGACCTCCAAATAGTCCCTCCTTCACAATGCAGTGAATGCGAACTAGACCCTGATGCTTTCAAAAACAACATTGACATTTTCTCCATCATTCCTCTTATCACCAGTCTGTTTTTCGCCATTTATGGTCGACGATGGGCTGATATCTCCATTCTCTTGCTCAAACCAACTGATCACCACACCAAAGAGCGAGTCAAGTAGCTGTAATATCTTCACATTTGATGTAGTAGATCTTGGTCACGTCTCTTCATCGAGTCCCATAAGCTCTAGCCGTAGACTTTGTGWTATTCCCGAAGATAGCGAACTCACAGCTTTTGATATAGAAATACCATCTAATTCGATTCATAGTCAGATATTTCAGTATCGCAAAGCCGAAATTCCATCCGTTCCTCCAAAAAGTCCAAGCATTGCTATTGCTACTCAAAGCAAGAAMAACTCCTTCCAGAACAAACATCAAGTACAGCAGAAAGAGCCCGATAATTCGAAAAGCAACCGACGGATTTTTAACTCCGATTCAAATAAAAACACTTGCCAAAATAGCRGACAAAAAAAACCTGGTACAACTCTTGTGAAAGGATTTGAAGCAAAACGAAAAAGCGGTAATTCAATGTTTTTATCAATGGTTACTCGTTAATAAATTTTATTATCCTGAAATTTAAAAACTGGTCGATTTATATGTGATTATTTATTTCAAAAAAGTTGAAAGTATTTTTATTATTTAGCGACGGTACGAATTTGAGAAATTTAAAAACTGTTCTAGTTATTTGTGATTATTCATGATTAAGTTGAAAGCATTTTTATTATTTATCGATGCTATGAATTTGAGAAGTTGTCGTATAAAAAATCTGCTGTCTAATGGTTATAAGTTGGTATTGTTGGTTTTGTTGGGTATCACATACTTGCAACAAATTTTCTGATCAAAAAATATCTCTCAAAAAATATTTTTTAGCTTTCTCTTCCAAAATTATTATCTCATATTTATATAAAACTATTTTTCTACATTTAAAGTGCAAATAGAATCCCATTATACATCGACGATTAAGGTACCAATTCCAATTAWTTTGGTATGAGAATGTTATTAATTTGAAATAAGATAAAGGAAAAAAAACGCCCTCTGCATGATAAGAACATTGCATAATATTATAACTTGTGGCTCTGAATTAATATTAGTTACCGTTGCTATGCGCCACACTAGATTAATACTTCTAGATAAAGTAAACCTAGTCGAAGGAAAGTTGTCATTTATAAAATAAAAAATGAATACGAAATAGCTAATAAGAGTTAATAGTAAAACTGGTGTAATTAGAGACCTGTAGCACGACTTTCATGCTACGTACTGCAAACCGCTCAACAGTTCGACGTCAGGCGTTTTTCGTCAAGATTTTCGACATATAGCAAGGCGTTATAACGGAGTTGTCGCTGGAAAAGCCGCCATATTGAATAGCGGGCGTGTTTCTTGGCCTGATCCCTAGCGGATACACGTTGGCGGTTAGCAGTAAGCTTGATGCTAAAAGTCTCTATTATTTTACAGTTCTGAAGGTATAGAATAATCAATCTCAATTGTGAATAGAGTAAGTAATACATACGTTTCTTCAATATGTTGTTCTCTTCTTGAAAAAAATCCACATCTATTTAGTTTTCTTAGCATGAGTTTCATTTTGTTTTTGAGTTGAGTTTGGTTGATGAATAGTTCTCTCCCTTGCCACGGGGGCTTTTCTCCGGGTTTTCCACCTTCTATAAAATTCAACATATGAGTTGATCGAGAGTTGAATGTTGTAAATAATGAGTTGAGAGTCGTGCACATAGAGGTGTGTGTAAGTGAATGTGTGACAAAATAGGGAACCATTTTTCGCGCTAGTTTTTTTCCTTCTATAAAAAAGAAATACGTCAGTCATAAATAGTTGTAACACGCCATCTTACGGGTTCTTCGCTGGGTGTGGTGTGAGGATCTTAACTCATATGAATCTTCTATCTAAAATGACTAAATAATCAGKTATGTTYTCAAGCCCCGRCAATAATGACTTAATCTTAAACAAATATACACTTATTTCAATAAAGTTTGTCGCCTGAAAAGCTACAAAGCTGAGACCAACAAGGATTTTGGGTAGTTACATTTTACATGTTTCAACCGCTTTAATAACTGTTGATGGATTTTAGATCTTTTACCAGTTACAGTCTCACCTCTTCTGAGCATCCTCAAGCTGCAAATTATATCAAAAGCTTGACTTGCTTGATATTAAAAGTTTCCCATGATCCTCGGTGATCTCAGCTTTCTAGGTTATTTAGTCACTAATTTTATTGAAATAAGTGTATACAAAGAATTAAATTGAAAGAAAATTGAGAGAGTCATCGGCTCAAAAGAAATTAAATGACATGAGATTATAATTAATAATGAAGAGGTTGGGTCCAGAAATAGAAATAAGTTGTCGAAAATTTAAATTGAACTTTGGGATTTGGTACTATCGTCGTGTACGGATTAACGAAGTACGTCATAGGTTTCCAAACACACGAGTGGGACTTAGAAATTTTGGTTTAGAAAATTAAGTGAAGACACCAAGAATCGAACTCGGTACCTTCGGCACCAAAGAACTATTACAATGCCAACCCCAACCCTAACCCTAACCCTAACCCCTAGACCACGAAGTGAATTCGGTTGGGTGGTCTCATTTTTTAGTCATATTTAAAGGATGTATCAT